TAGATGAATGGATCAAGAAAATGTGATGTATATACACAATGGAATTCTATGCCTCTATCAGAAAGAATGACATTGCCCCATTTGTTAGGAAATGGAAAGACTTGGAAAAAATTATATTAAGTGAAGTAAGCCAGGCCCAAATAAACATAGGTCCCATGGTTTCCCTTATTTGCAATATCTAGTATATGTCTGAGTCAAGCAGAAAAGGTCAGATATGATGTTAGGGAAATGAACCCTAAGTTACATATTCAAATTTTTTTTTCTTTCATGCGATTGTTTGTAACACATTTATAAGATTATTTCTTTGTCCTGCCCATGTAATTGTAACCCCTCTGTGCAGTATGTTCACAAATAAAATAAAATTAAATTTAAAAAAAAAGATTATTTCTTTGTTGCTTTGTATGTCCCTCCCCCACAGTATAACCCCTGCTTTCACTGTATTTGATGTCAATATAATTTGTGGAGGGGAAGGGGAAAAACAAATCATTTAAATAGGGATACAGGTGGACCCATTGCAACAATGAGATGTACAAATCGTTATGTCGAAAATGAACTTTACAGCCGGGCACTGGTGGCTCACGCCTGTAATCCTAGCTACTCAGGAGGCTGAGATCTGAGGATCGCGGTTCAAAGCCAGCCCAGGCAGGAGAGACCGTGAGACTCCTATCTCCAATAAACCACCAGAAAACAAGAAGTGGCGCTGTAGCTCAAGTGGTAGAGCGCTCGCCTTGAGCTGAAGAGCTGAGGGACAGCGCCCAGGCCCAGAGTTCAAGCCCCATGACCGACCAAAAAAAAAAAATGAACTTAACAACTTCGGTGAGGGGGGAGGGGGGAGGCGGGGGAGGGGGGGAGGGGGGGGTGATGGGGAATGGGGAGGATTGGGGAGGGCAGGGGGAGGATGGGAAGGGATGGGAAGGGGAAACAAAGGAGGAGGCTACAATACTTGATAAGAAATGTACTCATTATCTTGCCCATGTAACTGTAACCCCTCTGTATAGTATTTTCACAATAAAAAAAATACAGTTTTCTTTGTAAGTTACCAGGTTAACTTCTAATGATAGTTATTTGAATTTTTTCAGCAAAACCATGGTGGATATAAAAATAGGCTATTGTAGTTAAAATGAAAATAATTCAGAAACCGAGAAGTGTTTAACAGAGTTATTGCTGAGTAAGTCAGTTCCATACAGTTAAGTTATTTTGTGAATCTAATAATAAACAGGTTTTGAATGTTATAGAAATTTCAGTATTTTTTTAGGCATCACTTTAAATATGTTAGTTAAAGATGAACAGTATAGTTAAATCAAATTATAGAAAACCTATGGGAAGAAAGGAGATATATAAAAGAGAAAAATTAGGTGTTAAAAATTGGATAAAAAATAAACCTCTGTGATGGACTAAATGGCAGAATGGAGGTAACAGAAGAAAAAGTAAGTAAATCTGGGGATGGAACTATAGTACTTATGCAATATGAACAACATAAAAATTTGGAAAGGACTGAACAGCACATTAGAGACTTATGGGACAGTATCAATTTTTATATTTATGTAATAAAAACCAGAAGAAATGAGGTCAAATAAATATACAAAAGTAATGAAAGAAAACTCCATAAATATGGGAATAGCATATACCACTATATTATACCTGTATATCTATGCATTGAACAAATGCCAAACAAAATGGATCAAAAGAAATCTTTCCTATTCAAAGCTAAGAACAATAATAAGATGTTAAACAATCACTACAACAAAAAAAATCTGGAAAAGCAACTAGAGAACAAGACAATGACTTAAAATAGACTTTTGGGCAAAAATTATGGAGGTCAAAATAAATTGAGTATATTTAAAATATTAATGATTACCTAGAATTCTATGTTCAGCCCAAATACGATTTTTGGTTCAATGTAAAATGAAGACATTCTATGATAAAGAAAGTATCAGGTTTTGTTGGACTTATTAACTTGTGATCTAAATTCACAATCTTTAGTGTTAATTGTTTTCTTTTTTAACCTCTAATTCACTTTTAAAGTCTACAGTTTTTTAGTTGTAATCTATTCTTTGTGTTTCTCACTGCGTGTTCTCTCTCTCACACTCTCTCTCGTGGTGTGTGTGTGTGTGTGTGTGTGCGCGCGCGCACGCGCGCACGCGTGCACAAGGTCTTGAAGTCTTTTTTGTGCTACTCTAGTCATGGCTTGTACTCTACATCTTGAGACCTGCTCCCACTTCTAACATTTCTCTGATTCATTAGCATTTCAAGTTCTAAGGACTGTCTGCCTGGAAATTGCTTTATGCCAGAAATCAAAGATCACATCCTCCTGAATAGCTAGGATTACAGGATTGCCCAATGGTCAGTTCTTAACTCAACCTGTGGTAAAATGGTATAGGAAAGCCAAGCTTCAAAGAATCTCTGCTACAAACACAATGCACTGTGTTTTTGTACACACACACGTGTGTGAATATTTGAGTATCTACATACATAAATTTATTTAAAAGATTAAGGACAAAAAGAAATGTGCAGAAGCATAATAAGGTCAGTCTAACCACAAAGCAGAAACCAGACAGACATTCTAGGCCAAAAGTAAAGCCGATTCTGCAGGCTTCCTGAGATGTGGATCTGAATTAAAGAACTGGTCCTTCTGCATAATGATGCAGGAACTAAATATACTGAGTATAGACAGGCTAACTATCTAAAGCAAGACTTCTTCCCCAGAGTTTCCATTTATTCAAGATTGCTTTCAACATGTTTTGTACCTGCTATTGTGGTCTTGATTATGCATGTGTCAACACCAGTCTCTACTTTCAGGGAACTCATTTTACAGTGCAGAGATCTCATGGACTAGCTGGCAAGCAGGGGAGAAAACAGTAGTGGGGGAGAGGGGGCGGCAGGGACTTCCTGAGAAACAGCTCAGATATCAAACCAGGTTCTTTGTTATCATGGAAAACTGAGATTGAGAAAAGATTGCAAGACTTGAATTTCAATTAAGTCTCCCAGGGATGCACACTAGTTCAAAACTGCTACGCAGTTAGATATTAATGGCGGGGGCTTTGACAGAAATAACACAACAGAAAACAATCTTGCAGTTATAAATTCCAATCTGAGAATGTAATCGCCAGTTAAGCAGCTAGGAGTGGAGGAATAACTCCAGTGGTAGATTGCCAGCCTTGAGCAACAAAAGCTCAATAAGAATACAAGGCCTTAGGCTCACGCCCTACTAAAGGAAAGAAGGCAGGAGGGAAGGAAACTGCAAAACATTTGAGAAATTACACATCCAAGAGAAACAAAAAAAGTTGAGTGAACTCATTTCCCATACAATTAATTTTATGGAACTCTTCTGACAAAGGTTTAAAATGAATATGAAACTTTAAATTTTTTACTGCAAGTTTAATTTCTTTAGAAAATTTACAATGATAATATAAATTGAAAAGTGGTGAAAAAATGAGAAAAGAACATTTCCCATAATGTAGCAATGAACGAAGTAGGAAGTTGAAAGTTAGTTACAGTTATTGAACTAAAAATTTTAAAAAAAAACTGGAATATATTCAGTGTAAAGAAAAAACAGTGAATTTGCCACAGAGACAAACAAGGATAAAAATATACCAAAAAATGGCTAAGAGACACAGTATTATGCTCTGTAATCTCTGCATTTGGAATGGAGATAGTCTAATATGAGATGTGGTCCAAATAATTTAGAAAAGTCACTAGTGCTTGTTATGTTAATTACATATTGAAATAGTGCTGAATATTTGTGCTGAAATAGATATATGAAAAGTCACATTACTCATTTCTTTTTGCTTTTACATGAGACTACATAAATGATATGGCTGTTTTGTATTACCTTCATAGTTGACCATGTTGTTCTATATAGTACTTACTCTTCTGTAAGAGTTCCCATAAATTATATGAGAGGGAAAGCTGGAGAAGAAATATTTAAAAATATTAATGGAATTTTTGTTCAATTTCAAAGGTAGAGATGAGACATTACGATGGTGTTACCAATAATATTTAGTATCAGTAAAGTCATGCTTAAGAAATTTACAATGAGGGGCTGGGAAGGTGGCTCAGTGGTAGAGAGCTTGCCTTGCATGCATGAGGCCCTGGGTTCCATTCTTCAGCACCACATAAGCAAAAAAAGAAAAAAGCCAGAAGTGGCGCTGTGGTTCAAGTGGTAGAGCGTTAGCCTTGAGCTGAAGAGCTGAGGGGCAGCGCTCAGGCCCAGAGTTCAGGCCCCAGGACCGGACACACACACACACACACACACACAGAGAAAGAAATTTACAATGAAATTAAACAACCTTGGGTATAAAGAGAAATGTCAAAACTAGAGGTGTGTACTGACAGCTGGCCTATGACAGTGGACTTGAATTTATTTTTCTAGAGGACACAGAAAATGCAATGGAGAAATATTTAAATTGGTGTTAAAAAGTTAACAAAGTTAACAATCCAAATGTTCAGTTGTAACAAACCAAAAACATCATTCAAAGATAAAGAAAAGAGACTATACAAACACAATTTCCAATAACATCTCTAGTTAATTTTATCTAGTTAATTAACATAAATGAATCCCCATTCATTTATCCTCTCCAGAAGAGTTACGGAATGCTGTACATAAACAAGAACCCAGGACCAAGAAAGGCTTTATCTATGGAAAATAACAAAGGCAATTTTACAGTATGACTGAGTTTAATTAATGTTTCTTGATTACCTATACTTTTTCACTTCACTATAAAGTAAATCTGGGAAAAGGAAATAGAAAACAGTGAAAAAGATGGTTGATACATAGAGTGTGAAAATGTTAGAATACAGAAATGTTAAATCAGTTGATGATGTTTGAAACTGATTAACCCCAGGAGAACATAAAGTTCAAAGGAAAAAGCAATGTGACTAGCCAACAAGAAACATGAAATAAAATGTATTTCATGTCAAAATGGATCAGTCACCATAGTTTCCATCAGTAGATTAAAGCTCTGATTATCTGTTTCTTTCCTCTTTGCTGTCTAGCCACCATGAGGGACCAGAAAGCCGGTGTTAGAAGCAACAGTTTGTACTCTTCACATTATTCATGGGACCATTCTTCCCATAAAAGGGATGCTTCATTTTTCAGAGAGTCACCTGGAGGTCGAAAAGACTCTCCGCACAGCAGATCTGGCTCCAGTGTCAGCAGCAGGAGCTATTCTCCAGAACGGAACAAACATTATCTGTTCTACCAGTCACAGAACAGAAGAAGAGAGAGATCTGCTCAGTCTTTGAAAACATCACAAGACACTTCAACTTGGAGCTCTTCAGCACTTCCTTCCTCAAAGAGGGTACCTGACACACCATTAGTCATTGAGCAGCTTGAAGAAACTGTGTCTAACACAAACGATGCTCAACTAGACAGTCGCTCTAAAGCAATAGCATCCAAAATGAAAGAGATTGAACGGGTTTACCGGCAAGACTGTGAAACTTTCGGGGTGGTGGTGAAAATGTTGATTGCAAAAGATCCTTCATTAGAACAGACTATACAGTTTGCTCTGAGGCAGAATTTGCAAGATATAGGTAAGCGGTGTATTGAAGAGCTGAAGCATTTCATTGCAGAGTATGACAATTCTGCTCAAGTTTTTCGAGATCCTTTTTAAAACAGTTACTTGTTCAGGAAAAATAAATTAATTAATTAACAGGAAATGTTTCTAGATTTAATAAGCCCGCCTATGGACTGTGTAAATCTTTAAAACATGGAACTTTTGTGATGAAGAGAAATACTTTATATGACCACATTTCCAATTCAGTTAAACATCTACAGTAGTTTTGTAAAGATAGTTTAATTAGAACTTTTTTCTTAATGTAAAGCCAACTAATCTTTCTTCATAATCATATACATCCCTTCATTCCAAAAATGAGAGTTAATTTATTAATTTTTGCAAAAGCATTTTCTTGATAAAGCAGCTTTTGTACTTCCTACTTTTCTGTGTAGTGGTTTCTTTGGCCATGTGAGCATAATTTCTACTTAGAGATCATTCGACAAACATGAGTAGTCTTTTCACTCTTGTCGCAGAAAATGCCATGTGCAAAGCATTAGCATTTGAGTTGTGATTTTATACTGACTCTTGTTTTTGTGAGGCTTTGTAACATTGAGCAAGTTAATGGTACTGTCTTAATAAATTAGTTCTCTGCTATCTTAGTGAATTTTCATTCAGCAACAAACAAGTTTAAAACCTCTATAATACACCTTACAATCATTTTCCCAAAATAAATGAACTCTTTGTGCCTTCTCTATTAAGATATGCTTGAATCTTTTGAGTACTCTGACAAAATCTTAAACATCATCATGTAATAAGAATAAAGAGTAATTTGAGATGAAGATGACTATTTTAATCATGTGATTTCTCAAACACCTTTATGAGGAAAATTTCAGCATACACCAGAGGACTGGAGCTTTCTTTACATTTTCAAAATAAGCTCATACTTGCAAATGGGTGATTGATTAAAGCACTTATAGATTAGGCATGCATTAATCTCTGTAATCTGAGTGTTTTGTTCTGCTTATTTTAGATGTTCCTAAAGCATCAAAAGAAACAAGGACAATTAGCAGAAAGCTAGCAAGCAGTCCTGCATACCAGTCCTTCATGAGTGAGCCAGTCGATGTTCTAATGGTCCCAGTTAGTTTCTGAATCTTGGTTGCCTTTTTTTTTTTAAGATTTCCAAAAGCCTTACAATATCTGCTTTCCCTCTGCTGATCATCAAGGCTTTATGATTATTCAATGAAAGTTTTGTCACATCAGTTAGGAAATGAAAAAGCAATGGTTAACCTACAAACAATAAAACATTTTTATAAGCTTTCTAGAACACATCTGAAGGTATCTACCCTAAAAATAGATTTTAAAAGGCATTTAAAAAATGAAAACCCAAACAGGTTGAATTAACACTGATAATCCTAACAGAATGCTGAGAGGTGGCAAGCATTACACAGCTTTAAATGCTTGTACCTACACTGAAATATATCTGTTAGGAAAATGATTTTTATTTTAAACATTGAGCAAGACAGAATCAGAATCCCAGGAGCAAATCATGTTACCCCCTAAAAAGAGGTATGGAAGAGAAGCAGAGATTAATCAAAGCAGGGCAATGTGTTATAGCAGCCAATGGGCTTTGGAGCTAAGAAAGAAAACCAGAACCACCTCCCAGTCACACAACCTCTGAGTTTCCTTATCTCTGTCTACAAAACTCTGAAATGCTGAATATATAATACTCAATGAGTGTTAAAACATGGACTAACTAGCTCACTCCTCATAAGTGCGCCCTCTACCCAAACACCATCATGACTTTAGCCAAGGGAGATTGGGAATAATGGCTTGTTACTGTTTGAAGGACCATGAATGATTGAAACCTGTGTGGCATCACAGCCAGCGAGTGTAAGCAAAGACTGGGGTGCAGGCTCATGTTTCAGTGGTTGGGGGGGAATTCAAACAAGTGGAATGTTGATCCAGATTTGAAACTGGTAGAAAGTAGAGGTGAGTCCATGGTTGGTTTTCCAGTAATTATCTAAAAAGCAGGAAGAGTAGAATAAGATTTGATGTGGAAATGGTAAATAATAATAATAATAATAGGCACTTGGAAGTGGAGTTGTAGCTCAAAGTGGTAGAGTGCTAGCCTTGAGCAAAAGAGCTTAGGGAGAGCACCCAGGCCATGAGTTCAAGCCCCACAACTGACAAAAAACAAAGTTAGTTTTAAAAAAAATAAATTATACATGCTTTTTTATTCAGGAGAGAAGGGTGTTTGGTCATTTTAGTGTCGGGGGCATTTTTTTATGTTTGCCTGTGTTTGGACAGGATTATTGAGTAGTATTATTATTGTCCTGATTCATCTCAGTTGTCTGATTCATCTCAGAGAAGTCTGATGTGATGCTGCAGAAAGTTCTTCATGGTCAGCAGGCCAAGACCTACACTACCTTCTCAGTCCAGCTGATAGAGGTGGCCATCCCAGCTGGCACATGCTCCTTTCCTTTACATAACATGCTCCTTTCCTTTACTCATAACAATCTATTACATATTTAGTCATTATCTAGATATTTAACAGAAGAGTAGGTATTCATCATATACAACATTATGTTTTCAAATATGTATATATTATGGGAAAGCCAAATCAGACCACACAATATATAGATTACCTAGTGTTCATTTTTCTGATGATACAACTTAAAATGTTCCCTCAATCACTTCCAAAATATACTACATTGCTGCCAATAGTCACCATGGTGAAACACAAATACCTTGAACTAATAATTCTTCACAAAAATTTTCTAGCCATTGGCCAATATTTCTATAACTCCACCACTCCAATCTCTTATCTCACATCATGTCTACAGCATACAGAGAAAGAAGCCATGCCTACCCAGCCATTAAAAAGGAAGAATGGAATTTGAATCCAAGTGCATCTTTGGGGATCCTGACCAGTACCTATAACTTCTGTATAATTCAATCTCTTGATGACAGTCGGCACCACCTTAAATTCTGTACTTGAAGCATGGATACATCTGACTCGTGAAAAGCGTTTGACAAAGAAATATGGGATAGAGTTGCTATTGTTATAGGCTTATTTTTCATTTTTCAGGATGCCTGCCTTATGAGTTAAGCATGCAGTAAAGAACGGGAAACTTCCTTCTGGGCCAGACTTTATAACGAGCTGACTCAAAATGAGCTACAGAATTCCTTAAAAACCTTGCAAAGTCCTGTTGTCTAAGGAAGACTAAGCATGCTCAGTGAAACCAATTTGATTCTGTTTTGAAAAAGGACCTTCTCTAAATAGTCTTGTGTAGGAACACAAATCAAAAACAAAGATTCTTTCATTATTTATTCTTTTTTTTTGGGGGGGGGGTCAGGTCATGGGGCCTGAACTCTGGGCCTGGGCACTGTCCCTCAGCTCTTCAGTTCAAGGCTAGTGCTCTACCACTTGAGCCAGAGCGCCACTTCCGGCTTTTTTCTTTTTGCTTATGTGGTGCTGAGGAATCGAACCCAGGGCCTCAGGAATGCAAGGCAAGCACTCTACCACTGAGCCACCTTCCCAGCTCATCATTATTTATTCTTAAGAAATATAAATTTAACCAGAGGATTGACAATGAAGCTACCGAATTAAGTGAGGCCATATTTCAAGAAGAACTAACTGACATCTACCGAGTATTTCACCCTAAAACAACACAGTACACATTCTTCTCAGCAGCTCATGGAAATTTCTCCAAAATAGACTATATCATAGTTCATGCAAGCAACTTAAAGCAAGTACAAGGGGATTGACATAATCCCCTGTATCCTATCCGACCACAGTGGAATCAAGCTAGTTCTCAATTACAAAGCATACTGCAGAAATTACTTAAATACATGGAAATTGTACAGCACACTTCTAAGCAACCTGGGTAGCAGAAGAAATTTAAAAGTTCCTACAATTCAATGAAAATGAAGACCATCACAAAGAAATTTGTGGGACACAAAAGCAGTCTTGAGGCGCAAATATATCATCCTCAGTGCTCACATCAAGAAAATAGAGACCAACCAAGTAAATAATCTCATTACAATTAAAACAGCTAGAAAAAACATGAAAAAAATGGAACCTAAAGTTACTAGGTTGAACCAGAAAATCAAATTAAGAGCAGAAATTAATGAGGTAGAGAATACAAAAATTATAAATAAAATTAATTTTAAAAAGCTGGTTCTTTGAGAAAATAAATAAAATTGATAGACCTTTGGCAAGATTAATTAAGAAAAGAAGAGAGGAAACCCAAATTAACAAGATCAGGGATGCCATAGGAAAAATCACAACAAATACACAAGATATCCAAACAATGGTAAAGAACTATTTTCAAAAGTTATACTTTCTAAAGAAAGAAAACCTAGCAGAAATTGATGTGTTTTTAAAGAATAGCCAAAACAATTCTAGGGAATAAAGACAACATGGGAGAGATATCTATGCCGAACTTCAAACTCTACTATAGAGCCATAATAACAAAGGCAACATAGTACTGGCACAAAAACAGACCCGAAGACCAATGGAACAGAATAGAAGATCCAGAAATAAATCCACAGGCCTACAGTCAGCTGATATTTGACAAAGGAGCCAAAGACATACAATGGAAGAAACACAGCCTCTGCAACCACTGGTGCTGGGAAAACTGGGCAGCCACATGCAGAAAACTAAAAGTGGATCCCAGCCTAACACCATGCACCAACATCAACTCAAAATGGATTAAAGACCTTAACATTAAACCTGAATCTCTGAAACTACTACAGGACAGAGTAGGAGAGACACTTGAACTAATAGGCACAGGCAGGAACTTCCTGAACAGAGTGAATTAACATCAACCAAATCAACATATATTTCATATTCATTGCTATTCAATAAAATTTGATATTATATATGACATTACTCACAACACAGGGGTTCTTCACCACAATCCCCACCTGAAACCACACTGGCTGCTCTTGGCAGTGTGCTTTGCGAGTATGCTTTTAGGATCCTGTGAGGCTTCTATTAAAAGGTAATTCCATTTTAGTGGTACCCATTCCAGGAATTGGACTGTTCTTATCAATGGCCTACCTGCATAATACTTTTAATGGGGGAAGACATACTGCAAGTTCCTATCTTATTT